ATGGATAATAACTCACTAACTTGTAACACATGGATAATAACTCACCAACTTGTAACACATGGATAATTTGTAAAAGCAGAGATCTCTATAAAGCTAATAATGCACAAACTTGCTGTGCATACTGTAGAGGCTGTAAATATATAAAATGGTTGTTCGCAAACAATAAGCTTCTTCAATTACATTCATCTATTGCTTCGATCTTATTTTTAACAGACCATTCAGATTCTATTTAATCCGGATTGAATCAACATTAAATTATATATTAAGCCAGCTTTTAGACATCCTTAGATCCGTTATTTAAGTTCTTTAGCCAATCTGAATAAAAATCTCCAATTTGAATATCTAAATTCATCTGGATTTAAAGACCAATTTAGACAGTCAGATTTAGAATCCAAAACTACATTCATCATGAAAACAAAAGCAGAAATCAACCCTGAAATCATACCAACTATCAAGCCGGAACTTGACGAGTTTATAGAAGGGGCAGTAAATATTACTAACACGTTATCATCTATCATCCCAATATTTGGTATTGTTACCTCCTTAATAAATGATATATTTACAATCCACGAGAATGCACGATTCAATAAAAAAATATCCAGATCTATAATTAATCGTATTACAACCATTGAACCGATCATAAAGTTTTTGAAATCACCGTCGAAATATAACGAAAAATTTCAAGACTCGCAATATCAAGAACCATTTGTAAAATTTCAAGCCATTTTGAGGAGGGTTAAAATTTTTGCAGAAACAGTAACACAATTAAGAGTCTATGAGACATTTTGGCGCGCCACGGTCATAAAGAAGGAGTTTATCGAGTTAATGAAAGAATATGACGCTTGTATGACTGATCTGAATTTTACAATGACTATCGTTTTTAATGAACAACGAAGAATTGATAACGATATTTTGATGCACGCTATTACTGGAATGATTAAGGGGGTATTGAATAATTTTTCATTGTGACAAACTTGTAGTTAACATTCTACAAATTCACCGTTATTTCCAATAAATGTAGGATACGAAAGTATCTCTTTATCAAGAGATATGCAATATTAAAAACCAACTTGAAAAATCAAAAGACTCGATCCAACAACTCGATCCAACTTTGTTAAAGGATTCGTTACTTAACCGCACATCAGATTGTCGTGGTAAATTAGGACAAATCATAAAAAAAGTCTATAAGGGATTCATCGAAGTAGCGTGCAAATCACGTGATCTAGAGGATCAAAGGTTTCACCATGAGTTATTAATTTTAGGAAAACTGGATGAAAGTCAGTATGTTGAAAATTTTATGGGATTTCCAAGTTTAATGGTAAAGAAGTTATGATTTTCGAGTGGGCTGAAATGGGCAATTTGAAAGAGGTCTATAATAAAGAATGCATTTCTTGGAATTTAAAAGCTCGAATTGTATATGAGATTTGCAAAGGGATCATATTTTTGGACTCCGTTGGCGTTTTTCACAATGATATTCGATGTGAAAATATAATAGTAGGATACACGAGCCATTTTTTTATATTCAAATAATCTATCCTTGGTCAAATCTAACGACTGGCGTATCATTATTCGATGTTGTGTAGATGTCACGCTTTATGGAACCGAAACTCGCAAATTTTCATTTTGCCATACTGCATAATGAGACAAATATAGCAATAAATCAACCAGTAAATTTTATAAATTGGATGGCTCCCGAGAAAATGCGTAACCTATTAAAAGAATCAGATGATTCTAATCAAATCACATATAGCCAAAAAGGTGAAATTTTCAGGTAGTTTTTTTTTTCCCTAGTTAATGTTTTAAATTTTAATTACAGAGAGACCTCCCTAAGTGCACCCTCTATAAATGCACCCTTTATGTAAATCTCTTTAAATGCACGGTATAATCTAGTCCCATCTTATAATTGCACTATAAATGCACATCCTCTCTAAGTGCATATTTTTAGAATTTTTCGCTATACCCCGAGGGGGGTGCATTCAGAGAGGTCTCTCTGTACAATTAATAAATAATTTGTTACATGATTGGTAATTGTTTATTATAGTTTTGGAATGCTTATGTGGGAATTAACTTACCAAAAGATCCCTTATAGCGATATGAAATCAAATGATGTGATAACTCATGTTGCGAAAGGCAATAGAGAAATTTGTAATAATTTTCTTGATTCAGAAAACAAAGTTATTCATGAAAGTTTTATAAATATTATTCAACATGGTAGGCTTTTAATCTAATATTTAGATGACGTTAATTATAAATTTAAACATTACAATTGCTTAACTATTATTTTAATTTTTTAAAGCATGGAAGGACATTCCAGAAGAAAGAATCGATGTGAATGCATTATATTCAAAGCTTATAGAATTGGTTTAATGGATATTCAAAATTTTTCGGCCTTTTATATGTTTGATCAGGTTATTTAATCGCTATGATAATGAACTGAACATTTTGTATTAATTACTTTTTTTTGTTTTCACTATTGCGCTAATTAACGTAATAATAGTGGCAAATGGCATAGGAATGTAAAATCTGGATATTATGATCGTTATATTATATTTAATCTTTCGTTATTTACCGTTATTTATTAGTCAATTTTCTCATTACTTCATAATTTCGATTTTTTCGTGGATTTATTTTTATATTCTTTTGTCTATTACTGGTGTTAGAAAAAAACCCGTCATTGGCTGCGTTTGCCAAGTCGGTTATTTTCATGCCATGATTTATGCTTTATTCGTTTTGTTTATGAAACTTACGTTGTTTTACTTTAAGTCATTTTTATTTTTATGCCTTTTATATTTTCTATGCAATTAGAATTCATATGGAATTATGATGAGGAATTCACAAATAAATAAAAAAATAAGATCTGAAATTTTCTCGAACTTCAAGTTTATAAATATCAATGCTAGGATGAAATGAGTGATATCATTGTTCATTTTATCAGACTCCGCTCCTGTAAAATTCTGTAAAATTGAT